CAATGGGGTATTCATATATATATAACCAAGTAACCCAAATGTTCCTTATTTAGGGAAATTTTATCTAGTTGATGCTGGATATGGAGCTAAACGTGGTTTTTTGCCTCCTTTTCGTGGTGTGAGGTACCACTTGAATGAGTGGGGAAACAACCCTGTGCAAAATGAGAGGGAGCTGTTCAACCTTAGGCATTCTTCTCTTCGTGTGACTGTAGAACGTGCATTTGGGTCATTGAAGAGAAGATTCAAGATACTTGATGATGCCACTCCATTCTTTCTGTTTCCAACACAAGTTGACATTGTTGTGGCTTGTTGCATTATTCACAATTGGGTTATAAATGATGGGATAGATGAATATATCATACCCGAGGATGAATGGGTGCCAAATATTACTCATGCTTCATCATCAAGTGGTCAAGCACATGAACATGCATACATGGTTAATTTTAGGCAAGGAGTTGCTGATCAAATGTGGGAAGACCGACAAAACCATTTGCAAGGTCAAAATATGTAGTAACTACTATGTCATTTAGCTCGTCGTGATGAATTATTGTACTTTGTTGAACTAGTTTGTGTGCTGGAACTTATTTGTAATGAAATATTGTATTTGTAATGACTATTTAAGTTGCTAAAATTATTTGTAATGAAATGTTGAACTATTATATGCGATGAAGTCTGAAATTTCTAGTATTGTTTTGTTTTGTTTGCTGTGAAAAAGTTAAGATTTTCGAAATTATGTTTATACATACTGTATTTCCTTCCTTCCATTAAAAGGTGCAAATTATAAGGGTAATCTTACCATTTCAAGTAAAAAAGGTTACCACAACCATTATCCTTCATTCATCCCTCCAACCAAACACTCTGATGGCTATCCTCAACCACGCTTCATCCTTTGAACCAAACAAAACATGGGATAACCTCACCCTTCCAACCAAACAGAAAAATGGGCTATCCCTAGCCACCTGGTTGGGGATACCCACAACCACCCTAGCATGTCCCCTAAACCAAACACATCCATAGTACATCTCCTTGATCAAATCGGCCCACGCATGCATGTGTACTTACCTGAATTATGTCAATATAATCTGGCCTGTTTCCATTGCTCGGTCCAGGAGGGCAGGGAAGGCGTCGTCCGGGTCCAGCTGCCTGTACGTCGAGGTCGAGAGCTCGACTGGGATAGGTCATAGGCGACCGAAACCCGGCACCGGTTCATGTAGTAGTACAGTAGAATCGACGGATCGATCGGGAGGCCGGGCGGGCGCACATGCACGCGCCATCCATCCTCCTCCTCGGCTCTACCTCTACGGTGGTTGAGACGCTGTGGTTTGCAGTACGTACCGCCGTACCGGAGGCAAGCGACTGGACGGACCGGCCGGCCACGTAGTCGGCGACGTCGATCGCACCGGTGGTTCAAGACTATATTATCGGCGGGATGAATGGATGCGAACCACACGACGTGTTCCCTGATGGAGTATTTAAACACTTAACCACGCACGCACGACGTGTCATGGGCGGCCGCTCCGGTCCGGTCAGGGTCAGTCGGTCAGATGCCGCCGTTGCAACCGCTGCACGTACGTGTGCGGCGCCGGAACGCGGCCGGTGGGGCTGAGCTAGCAGCGGCTGTGTGGGGCGGAGCGGCGATCGACGCCGCACGTGGTGGGGGCGAGCGCGACCCACCGCCGGACGGGACGGGATGTGCTGGGCTAGTTTGACTCTGCCACACGCTCCACGCCAGGCCCCGTCCCGATCCCGCACACACATGGCCAGCCAGCCTAACCGCCCGCTTCTTGATTGGATTTTGTTTACATCTACCTACGTACTGTACGTGGTATCTGTGTGTGTATGTATGTAGGTGGTCCGTTGTATTGTATCGACAGGGACGCGCACGATGCTGCTCTGGAAACAGCGGCTCGGAGATCGGAATAGATATCTCAGGATGGGTATTTGTACGACGCACTCTATATACCTGGGCGGGCTGGACCTGGAGCTTCTGCCGGAACTTGCTGCCCTGATATCTACGCCATCGTCGACACGTCTCATCGCTGCCATCATCCTTTTTTTCATCGCTAGTGGTGATACTAGCAATCTGAAAAGCTAGTGAACATGCTTGTCTTTGCGTAGCGCAGAGGACAAGGCAGCGCCGGTTGCAGGTTCGGTGCTTCAGTTCCTGAAATATGAATATTGGCGAAGCAGAGTATAATAATGCGGGATGTGATTCGGGTTTGACACAAGCCTGGGGGCAGAAAAATAACGCCCCTGTGCAGAGCAATTCGCAGAATGGAGTCATCAGAGTGGTTCCTCAAGGGGCGAGATCACCCCATGAGGGTTCCAAGCTATTCAGGGAATCGGCAAAGGCTCTGAACGGGAGGAGGCATAGATGTTTACTTCTGAAACTGGCCATTGCCAAGGCTTTCGACACGGTCGCTTGGCAACTCCTTTTGGATGGGCTCCAATAAATCAGCTTCCCAGGATGAGAATAGATTAGTTATTAAATCTTGGATGGAAACTTCTTTTACCTATTTCCCTGGCTAAAACAAAATGATATCCCAAAGGGATAACTAAAATGATATGACTGCTATAGAGGGTCCAATGCTAAATAAAGAAATATCTCCTCGGGATGGTCGGGCATAAGCGGTGCTCGTGGATCACTATGTTGCTCGCTACGGCATCAACCAAGGCGGCATCCCTGACTAAAGTTTCTGCCATGGTCGCGGCCTCACCCTGTCTCGCCAATGCTATTCATTTTTGCCATGGACATGCTTTGCAAGTTAGTTGATGAAGCAAAGATTCTGGAGCCTTTTAGTAACAAGCAGGCCGTTACAACGCGAATCACAAGGATTAGCAGCCACACAAGGATGACGTGATACTACTATCCTAAAACCTCGGTTGCCGATGATTCTGCGGTCAAGCTTTTGCTGGATATTATTGGAAGCTCCACTGTCTGCGATGCAAACTTAGTAACAACTCAATCTCACCTATCCTCTGTGGACATGATGAGATCAGGGATTTCAGTAACATTCTAGATTGTCAAATCTCAGCTCAGCTCTCCCTAGTACCTGGGCTTGCAGGTTCGTTTGAGGAAGTTAGGAATACAAGACTGACAGAGAAAGATTGAAATTCAGAGGAAGATTGAGTCCTTGGCCTACAAGCTTTCTCTATCAAGGTGGTCGTTTTATCTTGGTGCAAGCGGTGCTTTCAGCTATCCTGATTTTCCACCTATTGTCCCTGGAACTCTTCTATGGGTTTTCAAAGCAATCAACAAAGTCCAAAGATCTTTCCTATGGAAAGGGACTGAAACCGTTCAAGGTAGACATGTCCATGTTAGTTAGAAGCATGTGTACCGCCCAAAATCACGAGGTGATTTAGGTATCCTGGATCTAGAGGTCATGAACTCGGCCCTCCGGCACTGCATGGAAAGGTGATTGCCCACATTGGATAATAGGGCATGGAACATCTAGCTCCACTCCCCTCAATGATCATTGAGAGAGACATCTTCAATGCCACGAGCCGGTGGTTATTGGGGACGGTAGAAGATGCCTTTTCTGGACTTATAAATGGATCAACGCGGCAATTGTGGCTAATGCTATGATAAATGATCGATGGATCGAGGACATCAAAAGGAAGACCATTCGCATCGTCCTGCAAGTTCTGAATCTTTGGGAGGCTCTCGCTGAAATGCAGCTCATGCCCAACTCGAATGACATCTGGACCTGGCTTTGGCACCCAAAGGGAGTGCACTCGGTTAAACCCTATTTATAGTTTGTTTCTCTGCGTTGAAACAACTGTGACACTGGTAATGCTATCTGGCAGGTTTCGGCTCCGCTCAAATGAATACCCTTCGAGCTGGCCGTGCGGGGAATAATTTGGATCGCAGACCGCAGACCGTCTTGCCAAGCAAAACCTGCGTCACAATGCAGCATGTTCAGTCTGCGATTCTACGCCAAGAAAATGCCCACCAGTTGTTCATGGGTTGTGGGGTTGTTGATATCAGCTGGAGCTCGACTCTGCACTGGGCGAGGCTTCATGAGGTCGTTCCTTCCTCTGATATTTCGCTTAGTGGTTGGTGGCATGATGCTAGAACCATAGTCCAAGGCTTAATAAGAAAGAAGACTCTGAACTGTTTGGTCATTCTCACTGCCTGGAGCATATAAAGAGAGAACAGCAACGTGTTCGACGACAACGATTATACTCGTCTCCAACGAATCATCAAGCTGACCAAGAAAGAAGCAACAGTGGTCCAGCTACAGATCTTACCTGAATGTTTAGTGGCATTTGGTTTGGAGCAGGCTGCAAGGGCCCAAGGTCAAGCTTCTGAATTTAAATGGAGTCCCTTGTCACCTGGATCATTGGGAGTGTATGTAACAGCAGGGTTCTCGAGGATAACTACACTCCTGTCCAGTGAATCTTTTAACAAGTCATGGCAGATGCAAGGAATTGATGATTCCTGCTAGTGCTGGGCGCCCTCCTTTGTAACCAGTTTGTTTCTTCCTGCTGTATTGAGGTGCCTGCTGGATATTTATTCAGAAAAAATAAATGAGAGGATGCTTATCAGCAAAAATTCTGCATCCCAAACATACTCGGAAAACTATGTCAGACAAGACAGGTTTCTTTGAAACAATTAACCGTGTCTTTGCGTATACAAAGAAAGAATTCTCATTCACTGATACAATTCCCTCCGCTTATAAAAAAAGGAGCATCAGGATAAGGGCCTTTCACTACATCTTCTAGTGATATCTATTAACAAAAAAATTTGGGAGGCGCTCAAGAGGACCCGTCCTTTGGCCTGATGACAAGCATATGATCCCAGGGATTGTGTACCTGACTGAATCCAGTCGCTCGAAAGAATGCTGCAATTATTACTTTCACATGGCCGTTTTTTGCAGCACAGCGCAGGCCAACATGAGTACAAAAACTGTAAGCACAAAAAAACTGTAACTCTAAATCTAAGTGAACACGAACGTAAACCAGATCAGCAAAATTGAGAAGATTCCAATGTGCTCCTCCTAAGGTGCCATAAGCCCTTCGATTGTGTACTGAAGAGACTTGGCCCAGTCTTCCTTGAAAAGTAACGTTTGTAGTGTTTTCATCACATTGTAGTCTGGATCCAACTTGCGCTGCCAGCCCTGTAAAGGAATTTACAAATTATTAAGGGGAATCACTTATTTTGTTACACATCGATTTAATCAACAAAAGAAACTTAGTACAGAAGCAGAAAATATAGGAGAACAGTAGAGATAAGTATCATGGGGCTCTATTTGCTATTTTGTTCAGTACAGCATAAACAGAAGAGCTTCAGAAGGAGCTACAATCTTCCAGCACAACGAGGTAGGGCACAATCTGTACATTTTTTCTAATAAAATGCTATTTCATCACTTCTGCGACCATCCAGTCTAGCAGACATGGGGTCTAAAATCCACACGTCCAAAGCCTTTTTTCTTTTAAAAAAAAGGGCAGCCCGGTGCATGTAGCTCCTGCTTGCGCAGGGTCCGGGGAAGGGTCCGACCACTTTGAGTCTATAGTACGCAGCCTTTCCCTACATTTCTGTAAGAGGCTGTTTCCAGGACTTCAACCCGTGACCTCATGGTCACAAGGCAGCAGCTTTACCACGCAGCCTTTTTTCTTTAAACAGAGAAGAAAATGAAATACAGAATTCTTACAACTAAGCTACTTTCTTTACAGAAAAACTAGACATGGCTGCAATGACAGTTACTACTTTATTTTCTGTACTATGAAAACTTCTACAACTAAGGTTGGAAAGCTAACCAAACTAAGAACCCCTTTTCATTGCCTAATATCAAATTCAAACTGAGCAGTACACAAGATCAATAGTATCGGGGAACTTCAAGACCAAATGCTATATATTAAAGCTCACTGCATACTTTTTTCATGAGCGATACAGTTTCTGCAGGCACTATAAATCATGAGCAATTCCTAAGTAGTCTTGAAATTTGGGTCATGGTGCTCTACTAACATCTAGGATAGCAATGAATTTCTAGAAAATAAGTAGCATTTGCAGTGATTTAAGATTAAAACTCGGTAAAGTACATCATAAGTACACAGGTCATAAAGTTTACCTCAAGAACTAATGTAGTCACCATAACAGTGCAAACATTGCCATCAATGTTTACTTTATGACGTCGGACTTGCTCGAGCAACTGGTGCATACAATCAGCAGGGTGTATAACATCACCTTCAGGGGTACCCCAGAAGGAAAATGCTCGCTCAACTTCCTGTTAGCAAAAAACAAGATATCTCAATAACTGAAACCATGAATTGTTCATTTCACAGTTTGACAATCCAAGGCATGCATATAAATACAATATTTACGGTGACAATGCCATCCATTTAGTAAGCAGAAGCCATTCAATATAAATATATAATAGCTCAATTTTTCATACCATAATGCCAATAAAATTACCTAGTAATTTGTAGAAGAAAAAAGCATCTCCAGTGTCCACTAACAAAAGAAAATAAAATTACCTCTATAAAAACTTTTGGATTTGGGCAGTTCTGCTGTTTTGACAACTTTAGCGTACTCTCTGCTGCTGTACGACCATCTCGACGTGCAACAGCCTTGAAAAACTCCAGCAAATTCAAACGGTCATTACTTGAAAGTTCAGCAGTCATTCCTACATCGAGGAATACCACATGCGGCCTTGACTTCAAAAGGGTGTTATTCGGATTTCTTGGTTGTGCAATGCGGACCAGGATATTTCCAGGGTGCATGTCTGCATGGACAAAATTATCAACCTGGAAAAGGTGGATGCCAATGAGTATATACACAACAGTATAACAATCTGCCAAATAGACAGACATACTGAGGCTTATCAAATTGACAAGAATACTAGTGAGGTATTAATAGCGTGAGCTTGCATAAGCAGTACTTTTTGAAGAACAAAGTAGCTTAAAGTGCCAGTCCGATCCATAAAATAACATATTGAAGCCCCTTTGTTGTTCTAAAAGTACCGGTTCCGTGTTATATCAACTAATTCAAGTGTTCAGTTTTAGTAATAAAGCATATATTCTCAATTAATTCTTCGCCACAGAGACGATTCTGCTAACCGATAGTGATATGTTCATTTAGTAATTGTAGATCCATATCAATATGTACAGGATATAATTGTAAATAACTTTAGAAATTAATGTTCCAACTAAAATTAGATGCAATCATGCTCAAATGAACTTACAACCTAAACAACACTCCCTCTGCAGCAAGATACATGTCATGCTAGCTTTCAAATCTATTCGAAAATACATGTCATTCTACTATTTCGAGATAACGTTGCACTGACATATCCCTCTCTCTGGATAATTCTAATGCTATCTGTTCCACGCTGTTCAAGAGTTGAGTAACCTAATGATAGGGGCAATGCAGTCTCTGTATCTTGGTTGGTCCGCAAATTTCTACAGCATTCAGGATTCAATATACTTCTTACATAGATTGTAAAATATGAGTGTATAAGGAAATCTCTATCATTCTGCTGTTTTAATACAGAAAGCATGTACTTCCGTCTTCAAAGGCAAAACAGAAATAAGAATGAGAAGACAAAGAGATGGTTGAATGTAGTACCAGTAGCATTTTCAAGAGTGCATGAGTGCCAATATGTGCAAGAGCACTTTTAACTCGTTCCTCTCCATCATGGTCATCCACATAGTGTGAGACACTCTCCCCAAGCTCGTAAGTCTCGACCAAGACAGCAGGATGAACAAATGGATAAAGAGGTTTCGGAAATGACACATCTTTCCACCTGCGGAAGTTGTAGATAAACCGGCTCAAATGAGCAGCTTCCCTTGCAAGGTCAACTTGAGACATCATGAAGACGGCAAACTGTTGCACACTCTCATCTAGCCGTAGCCAATTTAACGCTGGAATATATCTTGAAGCTTTAGCTACCGCATTAATTATACTGAAATCTCTCCGTATTGAGTCTCCTACACCAGGATGTCTTACTTTAACTGCAACTGTTATAATCTTTGGCGTCTTTTGGCCAGGATGTCGGAATTTCAAAGCAGCCCGGTGCACTTGAGCAACACTTCCAGACGCTACAGGCTCTTCTTCAAAATTCTCAAAAATTTCAGATAACTTTCGACCAAAAGCCTTCTCGACGGTTTTCTTGGTATATGCATAGCTGTGAGCTGGTGCTTTTGTGTGTAGCTTTGACAACTCGGTACACAGGTCGTTTGCAAATAGATCAGGACGTGTCGCCGCCCACTGGCCCCATTTAATAAATGCAGGACCTGCCTGCTCTAAAGTACGATGCACAAGACGGAGCCATGTTTTCCTATATTTACTGCCAAGAGTATCTGCAAATGGTGCCATCAGTATACTGGGAGTAAACAAGAAAGCCAGATATATTGATCTGAGGATTATGATAACCATCTCTACTGCTGAGAATATCAATGTGGTGACATAAATACGGCTGTCCTGAGCTCGCGAGTAAATATTCTCTCGTATTGGGAGGTAGTCGCCATCTGCATAAGTCTTCTCACCTAGCATCAACTCTCCAGCTACAAAAGCGACGAGGTAAGGAACTAACTTATATCTAGTGGCAGTCAGGGTAACGGCACAAGCAGCTCTGCTTAAGAGCGGAGATGCTTTTGGCACACGAGAACCCTTTTCCATGAGTTGCTTCCAAGCAAGCTGGCTGTGAGATGCATTCCGGCTACATGACGAGAGAACAGAAAAGTTTCTTGCACCAGGGCTCCAGTATACGCTCTCCTTTGCTCGTCCGAGCATGTGCGAGGTGCCCGGTGCATTGTGGACTCCCTGGTGCAAGAATGCCCTGCTCTTATGGGCCAAACCGGCCGCAAAGCTCGACCCAATGTTCTGCGCACCTGAACTGCCGGGCTTCGAGTTGACCAATACAGCCTCAGCAATTTTTCTGCCGCTCTTCCCCAACTGCAGAAACCTGGGAGCAACAGGAAAACCGTGTCCACTTCAGCATTTGGGCGAATCGGACCAGAATCGTAAATTACACAGCGATAAGCACCAAGTGAATAAGATATTGCAGGCGGGCGGCGGTGGCTGACCTCGACATCACGACGATCTCCTCCAGAGGGCGCCTCGACGGCGGCGCGGCTCCCTGCTCCGGCGAATCAAGCAAAGCTGGTGACACGACACGCAGACATTGAGAAATTTGGATTCGGCGGGGGCGAATGGACTCGCGGGGGAGCGAGGAGATCAAATCGAGGCCAGGGACGCAGAGGTGGGGCGCTTACCGACGCGGCGGGATCGTTGGACGGCGCGGGGGCGTTCACCATGGCGAGGGCCGGGAAACCCTAGAGGCGGCCATGATCGGCGGCGAGGCGGCGGCGCATGGGGGAGGCGACGGGCGGTCGGCGGAGGGTTAGGGTTTGGCGGGGGAGGGAGGAAGCGAGTTTCGCTTTTGTCTGGTGGCGCGTGTGGTGCCGACCGACGTGAGGAGGGGGGAGGGAGCTGCACGGACGGCAGCGAGGCAAGGAGGAGGAAGAAGGGGAGGAGGGGCGCAGCGTGTGCAGCAGCCGTGGGTCGGGCCTGAACAATAGGGTGGGCGTCGGCCCGGCGATCTGGGAGGGAGCTTTCTTTCCCTTTCTTCCTTTCCAGGTTTTGCTCGTTTCTTTTTGTCTATCTAAAATAAAAAAAAGGTTTTGCTCGTTTCCAAATTTCTAAGAAAAAAAGAGAGAAGGTTCCTCTCCTTTCCGAATTTTGACGCGGCCCCTAAAATTGGGACCGTGAAATGAAAATAAAAATAAAAACAGTGACATAAAAATGACAATTGGAAACTCTCTTGCGTGTGTGACGCACAAACATCGCACGGGGCGATGTGCCTGCGGCCCCTCTGATTGATCCGAGTCGCTAGATGGCGGCATGCGTGCTGGATTGAGCTTAGAAACCACATACCCCTTTACGCTGGAAAAGCTATGGCCTTAAAAGTTGTTCTTTATATGCTTTCGGGTCATTTAAATGAGTGCGGTGATTGTACAGGGACTATATGCGCCACGGTGGTGGTGAACTGTCTTTTCAATGAATGGAAGCTCCGGCTATTTCGTAATCTCATTTTAGCAGTGTCTTTCATTGTGCACACCTCATGACATTTTTTTCACCCTTGCATCTCTACTAGAACAATAGTAATCTCAATGGTTGTTGTGTCGGCCTTTGTATGCCACTAGTTGTTGTGCCACTAGTTAAGCAAGATTACAAATTTGAATCAACGATTTTTATATGCCACTAATTGTGCCCCACTACTCAGTTTTGTCATTAGAAATTACAACTGCTAAACAATGCCATCGTTCCATGGGATGCTTGCTCAAAAATGCAATTAGATATTTAAAAAATGTCATCGTTTCATTAGATGTTTGCTCAAAAAGGCCATTAGACATCGTCATTGTCAGGTCAAACCCGTTGACCATGTTATATGACAAAAATATCCCTAGACCCACATGTCAGTTCTCTCTATCTCGCAATGATAAGTGCGGGCCCCACTTGTTAGGACTAAGCAAGCGAATAATTTTAGATAAGAAATAAGAATTTTGTTGTGATCAAGTGGGACCAACACTTTATTGTAGTGAGATAGAGGGAGAGCTGACATTTGGTCATTATAAAATGGAAAACGAGATTTGAGCTGACAATAATGATGTCGAGTGGCATTTTTTAGCATGCTAACAAGTGATGGCCTTTTTGAGCAGTTGAAATTTCTAATGGCAAAACTGAATAGTGTGACATAACCAGTGGCATAAATAATAAAAACCCTTGAGTCGAAGCCATTGGGTTGAATCAATTACTCCCACAGCTCAGGGTGGGCGTTGGGTGTAAACCGAAAATTTGGTTTCTGCCATTCTTTTTTTTCCTCAAATTTGGTTACAAGACTACAAACTCAAGATGGCAACCAAAATAGGTTCCCAAAACTTCAATTAACTGATTAATTCGGCTTTCGCTTTATACCGAAAACCATTGCTTTGAGCATTTTTCTCACTATGCGCAGCACTACGTTCTTATGTAGCCGAAGGCCGAAGCGCTTTGCCCCCTTCTCCTCCGCCAGGCAAAGCGCGATTAAAGGTGTGTTTGGTTCCATGGGTCGCATTTGGCTCCCACCGAAATTTCTGGATGTTTGGTAGGCTACATGTCTAATTGGGCCTGGCCTGACCAATGCAAGATAGGCCTTCTAGTCAGGCTGAGCAGAAACACAGGAATCAAGCGTTTCCCCATGCCAGTATCGCGCTTGCACTCATGTGTGCAAGGGTGCATGTCCCGCTAGGTACATAAGCATTTTTTCGTAGCCCTTCTCTCTCGTGCGATTGCTCTCATCGCACCATTGCCTCTTTCCACGTCGCCAACGCATCTCCTCGCTATCATGAGGTACAACTCCGGCCATTTCTCTCTTGTTCTAATCTATCTTCTCTCTCTCCTATCCCAATCTCCCTTGTCCCCGTCTCTCTCCTGTCCCTCCCGTCCATAGCTCTAGTCAGCCATCCCCTTCTTCTACAATTAGCCCCCCTTAATTTTGGGATTAGTTGCGTTATGGATGTGCCTTCCACAACGAGGCTATGTCGGATGTAGTTGCTTGTAAAAAAATTGTGATTGGCTTGAGGAATTTCTGATAACTAAAATTGAAACATGAGTTTTTGTTTAAATTTTGATTTGTTTTACTTGTTTTCTTTGTCCATGGAATGGTCCATGGATGATTAAAATTGGAAGACGGGAGGTTACATAATTAAGCTTTAATGTGGCTTACCAAACAACATCTGTTGTATACAACATCTACCATATGCCCATATCATATAGTTCACGAAAACACACATCCCAGGTCAACCTTGCATCGGCTCAACCAGGCCATCCTCACCCAGGATCCTCCATGTGATGCAGGCTGGAGCTACACAGGCAACCAAACAAGTCCTAAAGGAACATATTGTCTCGAATCGGCTGGGCGCAAACGCCACTTGGGCTAGCATCCAGTCCATGGAAGTGATGTTCCTGGCCCTTGGTTGCAGGTGGGCTATATGTGTAGCTCAGTGAGGGAGTCCTGGATTAAGGGGTCCTCGGGCGTCTGACCTGTTGGACATGGGCCGGATGATAACCCACAAGTATAGGGGATCGCAACAGCTTTCGAGGGTAGAGTATTCAACCCAAATTTATTGATTCGACACAAGGGGAGCCAAAGAATATTCTCAAGTATTAGCAGTTGAGTTGTCAATTCAACCACACCTGGAAACTTAGTATCTGCAGCAAAGTGTTTAGTAGCAAAGTAATATGATAGTGGTGGTAGCGGCAACAAAAGTAAAGACATCAAAAATAATGTTTTTGGTATTTTGTAGTGATTGTAACAGTAGCAGCGGGAAAGTAAATAAGCGTAAACCAGTATATGGAAAACTCGTAGGCACCGGATAAGTGATGGATAATTATGCCGGATGCGATTCATCATGTAACAGTCATAACATAGGGTGACACAGAACTAGCTCCAATTCATCAATGTAATGTAGGCATGTATTCCGTATATAGTCATACGTGCTTATGGAAAAGAACTTGCATGACATCTTTTGTCCTACCCTCCCGTGGCAGCGGGGTCCTATTGGAAACTAAGGGATATTAAAGCCTCCTTTTAATAGAGAACCGGAACAAAGCATTAGCACATAGTGAATACATGAACTCCTCAAACTATGGTCATCACCGGGAGTGATCCCGATTATTGTCACTTCGGGGTTGCCGGATCATAACACATAGTAGGTGACTATAGACTTGCAAGATAGGATCCAGAACTCACATATATTCATAAAAACATAATAGGTTCAGATCTGAAATCATGGCACTCGGGCCCTAGTGACAAGCATTAAGCATAGCAAAGTCATAGCAACATCAATCTCAGAACATAATGGATACTAAGGATCAAACCCTAACAAAACTAACTCGATTACATGATAAATCTCATCCAACCCATCACCGTCCAGCAAGCCTACGATGGAATTACTCACGCACGGCGGTGAGCATCATGAAATTGGTGATGGAGGATGGTTGATGATGACGACGGCGATGAATCCCCCTCTCCGGAGCCCCGAATAGACTCCAGATCAGCACTCCCGAGAGGTTTTAGGGCTTGGCAGCGGCTCCGTATCGTAAAACGCGATGATTTCTTCTCTCTGATTTTTTCTCTTCGAAAGCAAATATATAGAGTTGGAGTTGGCATCGGAGGGTTTCCAGGGGGGCCACGAGGTAGGGGCGCGCCCTAGGGGGGCGCCCCCACCCTCGTGAGAAGGGTGTGGGCCCCCTGGTCTTCATCTTTGGCGGGGATTTTTTATTGTTTTTTCTAAGATGTTCCGTGGAGTTTCAGGTCATTCCGAGAATATTTGTTTTCTGCACATAAAACAACACCATGGTAATTCTGCTAAAAACAGCGTTAGTCCGGGTTAGTTCCATTCAAATCATACAAGTTAGAGTCCAAAACAAGGGCAAAAGTGTTTGGAAAAGTAGATACGACGGAGACGTATCACCGGACTAATGGGCTATGAAGGTACAAGACATAAGACTCTCTCCCGTGTCCGGATTGGACTCTCCTTGACGTGGATGGCAAGCATGGCGTTCGGATATAAAGATTCCTTTCTCTATAATCGACTTTATACAACCCTAGCCCCCTCCGGTGTCTATATAAACCGGAGGGTTTAGTCCGTAGAGGCAATCACAATCATATAGGCTATACTTCTAGGGTTTTAGCCATTACGATCTCGTGATAGATCAACTCTTGTAATCCTCATACTCATCAATATCAATCAAGCAGGACGTAGGGTATTACCTCCATCAAGAGGGCCCAAACCTGGGTAAAACATCGTATCCCTTGCCTCCTGTTACCATCACCCTTAGACGCACAGTTGGGACCCCCTACCCGAGATCTGCCGGTTTTGACACCGACATTGGTGCTTTCATTGAGAGTTCCACTATGAAAGTGCAACTATCCCTGGGTGGTTTTGGTAATTCCTAACAACATATAGCTCATTGAGCTAATGCTACTTCAAGATAATCATTTCAGGAAAGCTCAATGATTGACATGGCATGGATGAGAAATGTGGACCCCTCAAAATGCTAAGGACAAAGTATTGGCTCAAGCTCAAAGCTCAGGACTCTACATTTTTCATTTTAGTGATCCAAGATCACATTGAGTCCATAGGAAAGCCAATACTATTAAGAGGGGATGAGGTGTTGCTTAATGAGTTTCTTGCTTAAAGTGCTTAGTGATATGCTCCAAAAACGCTCAACTAATTTCTCACATCCAAATATGTCCCAAACAAAAGTCAAA